AGAGTTAGTTATTGAAGATTTTTGTTGATTTAGTTAGAGTTATTGTTCAGTGTGTTGGCCTAGAGTTAGTTATTGAAGATTTTTGTTGATTTAGTTAGAGTTATTGTTCAGTGTGTTGGCCTAGTGTTAGGTATTGAAGATTTTTGTTGATTTAGTTGGAGTTATTGTTCAGTGTGTTGACCTAGTGTTTAGGTATTGAAAATTTTTGTTGATTTAGTTGGAGTTATTGTTCAGTGTGTTGGCCTAGTGTTTAGGTATTGAAGATTTTTGTTGATTTAGTTGGAGTTATTGTTCAGTGTGTTGGCCTAGTGTTAGCTATTGAAGATTTTTGTTGATTTAGTTGGAGTTATTGCTCAGTTGGAGTTATTGTTCAGTGTGTTGACCTAGTGTTTAAGTACTGAAGAGTTTTGTTGATTTAGTTGGATTTATTGTTCAGTTTGTCTTGGTATGTTTGAAATTGTATTGAAGAGACTTGATAAAGTTTGTTTTGTGTGTTGTTGTTTTTTGTTTGACTAGGAGTTGAGTTTGGGTGTGTCTTGAAATTTTGGACTTTTGACTCCGAATATGATGTAACTTGTGTCAATATAAACTTGTTATCGAACTTACATTTGCATAAAGCTTATTTACAGCATTATCGTCCAGAATCTCTTCGGGATAGCCGACGGTAACTGTCATTGCATCTATCTGGAAGAAGAAGAGTGCCTTCAGTTAATGAATAAATATGTGAACTGTATACAAACATACACGTAGAGGGAACTTGCACGAAACGTTGACGTTAAAATTAAATGCTGTTTGGACATTGGAGGCCGTGAAAAACTGCTTTGTAGCAAAGCGGCGTGGTTGAGTGTGGTCTGAAGACATGGTGTGTAGAAAAAATTAATAGAAATGTTAAATATGTCTTCATCTAAAATTTAACGTGTTCAGTTAATTATTTATGTGATGAAAATAAACCAACCCATTGTTTCTTGAAAGTAAATAAGAATTCAACCAGTTGTCCTTGAGTGTAAATAAGAACTCAACCATTCGCCTTTGAATGTAAATAAGAACTCAGCCAACTGTCCTTGAATATAAGTAATAACTCAACCAATTGTCGTTGAGTTTGTTCTCCATCATTCTTAGAAGCAAAGTAGTTTAGAGATGTGTACAGGCTTTCATTTATATAATATATAAAGAAGTATAAGTGAGAAGACAGCCGACTGTAAAGAAATTATCGAGTTTCATAGTTTTAGTTTTGAATTATATTTTATTTATTTCATATTAATATTGCAAATAATAAACATAAATACAGAAGATAGAGACGAGACAAAACTAAACATATTTCCATACATTTGCAAAGTGTCTCTCTAAATCTTTAAAACGTAATAATAAAATCCAGCAAAGACTTCAGTTATGCGTTGAATACTTAAAGCGTTTTGGGAAAAGATTTGGGTAAAAGCTTATGACTGTAAGATTTTAGTGAACAAAATACATCACCTTACTCAACGCTCTCTGCATAGTAGTAAAATCCATCCAAGTTGCAGTTTCCATAGTAACTTTCAATTGATGTCGTATATTCTCCGTCATATCCAAACCCTAGAATAGATGAAAAAGACTTTAATCATACTGTCCTTTAATGTAATTCAGTTTATATCTACAGAAAAAACTTGATTGAGCACGTTAATCTATAAATTGTGCGAGTATAACATTGACACTAATTTTTAAAATTAACACTATTTAATAAAACGATTAATAAAACGATATCACAGAAACTAATAACACCTCTCTCACTTGTAAATCAACGGAACTTTGTGTTTTAAATGCATTGGATTAAAAATGTAGTGGAATACCTAAACAACTCGAACTAATGAAGGAAAACCACACAACAATTTTTTGAAGTTATGAATGAATTAGTCATCACTTCAAGGACGGATCATAAGTATAAAAATTAACAAAGTGTGTTCATGTTGTAGAGAATACTGGCTGGTAAAATAAAGTGTGTTCATGCTGTAGAGAATACTGGCTGGTAAAACAAAGTGTGTTCATGTTGTAGAGGATAGTGGCTGGTAAAACAAAGTGTGTTCATGTTGTAGAGAATACTGGCTGGTAAAACAAAGTGTGTTCATGTTGTAGAGGAGACTGGATAGTAAAACAAAGTGTGTTCGTGTTGTAGAGGATACTGGCTGGTAAAACAAAGTGTGTTCATGTTGTGTAGGATACTGGCTGGTAAAACAAAGAGTGTTCATGTTGTAGAGGATACTGGCTGGTAAAACAGAGTGTGTTCATGTTCTAGAGGAGACTGGATAGTAAAACAAAGTGTGTTCGTGTTGTAAAGGATACTGGCTGGTAAAGCAAAGTGTGTTCATGTTGTGTAGGATACTAGCTGGTAAAACAAAGTGTGTTCATGTTGTAGAGGAGACTGGATAGTAAAACAAAGTGTGTTCGTGTTGTAGAGAATATTGGCTGGTAAAACAAAGTGTGTTCATGTTGTAGAGGATACTGGCTGGTAAAACAAAGAGTGTTCATGTTGTAGAGGATACTGGCTGGTAAAACAAAGAGTGTTCATGTTGTAGAGGATACTGGCTGGTAAAACAAAGTGTGTTCATGTTGTAGAGGATAGTGGCTGGTAAAACAAAGAGTGTTCATGTTATAGAGGATAGTGGCTGGTAAAACAAAGAGTGTTCATGTTGTGTAGGATACTGGCTGGTAAAACAAAGTGTGTTCATGTTGTAGAGGATACTGGCTGGTAAAACAAAGTGTGTTCATGTTGTAGAGGATAGTGGCTGGTAAAACAAAGTGTGTTCATGTTGTAGAGGATACTGGCTGGTAAAACAAAGAGTGTTCATGTTGTAGAGGATACTGGCTGGTAAAACAAAGAGTGTTCATGTTGTAGAGGATACTGGCTGGTAAAACAAAGTCATTCCTATTACGTTCTTACATAATCTGATCAAATATCAGTACAATTTTATTGTAACCATTTCCATGTATTTTCATATTTTATCTTTTTGTTTATCATAATTCAAATAATGATATTTTACATCATGTTTCGAGCAACAAATAAATTTAAAATAGAATTATTATAAATAGGTTAAATAACAAAGTTTATTATCAAACTTTCGGTTTAACATTATTATTATTATTACGTTTTGAATAAACTGGAATAATTTCGTTTATTTACAAGATTTATTGGATTATTGGTATAGAAACTTTCACTCTGTGTTCCACGTATGCTTTATTTCTTTATGATAAAAAGGGACACTTACGGCATGTTTTCTAGCATCTTGGAAGTAAGATTTAACGTAAATGGATGACAAAGAATGGTCAAAAAAATACGACGTGATATCACTGCAAGTCATCCACACATCAGGGTTATACTCATATCCACGCAAAGCACTCTGAAACTCATCGTATAAATCCCGAAAAGGCTTGTCTAAATGTATAACTGCTGATAAAACCGCTCGATACATCATATAATTGGCCAGAGCCCGTTTTCTGTAAATGGTTTCCATAACATTTTAACTCTGTTCATCAATTCTTAATAACTTTATTTTGCAATTGTTAAAAATGTTGTTCAAGATACTCGATGGTTTTTAACTAAATAGATTTAGAAATGATTTCGTAACAAAACACACTTGTCTAATTAGGAATGTTTCATGTTGAGCAGCGTGAAATATTGCTTTGTTATACAAACTACATTTCAAACATGCGTCTATAATAAACTTATACCCCAGATTTTGTTTTTATTGCTGCAAAAATGAATACCATAAATGAGAAAAGTAACAAACACGTACTAGGATTAGCGAAGTGAAATCAATACGATTATCATAAAATCTGATGGTTAAAAATAGTTTACATTTTTTAATAAATTCACTGTTACAGTTTAAGTAATAATTTAGCTATTTTTCCTCAATTTCAACCGTATGATATACGTTATTTTTAGAAATCCGTATTACAGTTTCCGTTTCCACGGTAATGCAATAATTGTTTATTGTTAGCAATTATATACGTTCATTAGTGATTGAAAACTAATTCATTAATGTAAGGATTCTTATTGAAAATACAACATAGTTTCAGCTCAGAGGAATTTGAACTTGTTTAATTAATGTATTTTCATCGATTAGTAGACTTAATGAAGTTTGAAACAACCGCTGGTTAATGATATAATCAGATTGGTTGCACTGTTGAAATGAGATACTAACCGATTAATTTCAGGCAATTTAATTGTTTTTATTGAAATACACATTTATAATCACTTTCATTCGGAAAAACTTTCCGGGGGCCATTAAGTAGTTAAACAAAGAAGAAACTTATTAGATAGCATCACAGAACAAAGTTGTCCCTCGGAGGATTAGCGGTAAGTTACGAACTTACAGCGCTAAAATCTGAGGTTTGATTCCCCTCAATGTACACAGCAGATAGCCTAATGTGTCTTTGCTTTAAGTTAAACACATAAATAGAACAAAGTCTATTTTATCGGCCTGTCTAAAAGTTACGCTTCGCACTTTGGAGCCATAGTAGCGTTATAAGAGTGACGGTCAACTTCCACTATTCGATTAGAGCATCTCAAATGTTGGCGGTGTTTGTTTTTGACTATGTTACGTCTCCGTTCGTTAATTAACTTTCCGTAACTTCGTTCCGAT